TGGAGGAATTCAATATCAAATTTACTCTCAACGCGATGAATATTGGAACTCATTTGTCCCAAACCCTTGATAACGGTCTTGTTTCGACCAAGCTGCGGTCACTCTCGTGGAATAGTCTCCAAGGGCTCGACCTTACCTCGCTAATCTCGGCATTCTCTACCCGGTCGATGGCGAGAGTGTGCATTTATTCTCAAATCGGTTTCCACAATAATGCAGCATCCCACTATGGAACATCTAGTGTCGAAGAATTGGAACTAAGGGATACGTGCCTTCGGGAAGAAGGCATTTCTGAACTTCTTAAACTTCCTCGAGCTCTTAAAAAATTCATCTACTCAGAGGAATCCGCTCAAATCTCTCGCCACATCAATCCCCATAACTTTAGGCGATCACTTGAATGTGTATCAACGAGCCTCGAGCTCCTTGATGTGTCATTAACAAGGTACAAGGCACTCCCTAATGCCTTAGCTCTCTGGTCCTTCGAGAATTTCGCTTCCCTTAGGGCTTTGTACATAAACTACCGACTCGTATATGGTCTCGACCCGGATTCAGCGCCTTGTATTGCCAAATCGTTGCCCAAGTCACTCGAGGTATTGGCGATGCGTAGGATCCACGAGAGTAATAAATGGACCAATGAATCTGTGCTCAAAGTTTGGCAGCGTCTACTGGTCCAGAAATCCCCGAGCTGCTTGACCCGCCTCCGGGTGATCGCTCATCTTACCCATTACGACCTTTTACTTCCTCTGGCGGAACTAGGAAACACTCGAGGTGTGAGGTTCGCACGTAAATGGGAAGAAATGAAGTTATAAATGGTATCAAAGTTCTTGGGGAGTCCGTACATGCTATGTACTATGTAAATAAACTTCTACAAGACCGAGCAAACCGTATTAGAAGAATGATCCTGCCTTGTGACTAGCTGATATTACTATGCCGATGAATCTATCCTATTTCTTGCTTTGAATTATAGTATACTCTACGTTAGCCGGATTTACAAAATGAGTACGAGGCCATAGGCTGCGCCCAAATATGTGGCTTACTCTCGACCATCTCGACGCGTTTTGCAAAATCGCCACATTTGAACCCATCTCTGCATTTTAATTACTTCCCGTTCCCACCAGACGATTATAGACTTGGTCATTGTGCGCAACATGCAACTCCGGCAATAGTACCAATTTGGGCACCTTTAGAGTTAGTGGTCACACACTAAAGAGATAGTGAGAGCATGATCTATTAGAAAAAGACTGAAATAAGCTAATACAATGGAATTATAAAAGTTCTAAAGCAATAAAAGTTGTCAACGAACGATCGAACCTCGATGGAAAGCTTTTAGATGGGAAGAGACTCTAGGTCCGTTTGCGTGAGGGCTACGTGCACACCACGATCTGTTGCCGTTTGAACAAGAGGCTCCAGGAGTCTCAGATTGTCCGGATGAGCGATCATTCTGAGGCTAGGCAAAGTTGAGACACCCTTTTCCAAGAGAAGAGATTTGAAGCATCGAACATAGTCCTCATCCTCCCATTCATCCTCTGGATACTCTTCATTTTCTTCCTTTTGTGACGCAAACATTCCCAAGACCTCTAGGGTTGGGGGGAACACTTCAGCACTGAAGTCAACGGTTTTTGGCTGTGGGCCAAACATGAGCCTATAGCTGACGAATAAATTCTTCAACAAGGCAAAGTAATCAAGAGTCCACGTATAATCGTTTTCGATGAATCCTCCC